CTGTAACAAGATAACAAGCAGTAAGAAACCTTGAACCTTCCAAGCTGGAAGGCTGTTGGTTTGCGCACTGAAGGTGTGTGAGGGCTAGATCTCAGGTTGTTGGATGTCTCAGTAACCGGCCATTTTTTTCCCTCTTATCGCACTTTCTGACTGCTTATTATCTTGTTACAGTCGTGGATAGTTGGTTCATAACTTGTTTCCATGTGATTTCTTCTATCTTAATTAAATTCACAGGGGCGTCACAGGGCGGTTGGGAGTGGTATGACCGGGGTCCGGGTGTTCCGCGGGTGGAACAGGGCACGTTTTAGCACTCTACAGCTGCAAAGGAGGGTTCCCCTAGCACTTATTGGACAACCCCACTCCAGCTCAAAAAATGCTTCTCATGGATCATAGGTGGCCAGGCCAAAAGGAAGCCATTGTCCTCGAAACGTACCGGTATGTCATGCCCTGCAAAAGTGCGCCACGCCGCATGCACTAGTCTATGTACACGGCCGGCCCGCGGACAGTCGCGAAGTAATTATGTTTTAAAATTAGTTGTTTTTAGAGAAAGAAGAAGATCCTTTTTGTGTTCGGTGGGATTGAAAGATCTGCCAGTTGGCCGGAGAGCTACAACACTGAAAGGAGAAGAAAGGGCTTGCGGAATCTTCTCTGTCTTCATGGCAACAGGACTTTAGTTTGCGAGAGACTTTCGACCTGTCATCGCGGACGCAATTCTTGTTGCTGCTACCAGAAAATTCGGAGAACGAAACAATCGTAAGTCATTTGGTGAAGCGGGTCGTGTCGGTGAACAAATGCAGAACGTTCTGGCGCCGTGGAACAGCAGTCCAAACACTTTTCAACTTCGGAGAATGAAGTGCTTCCCTATTCCATTGACAAGCACGGCGTTCGCGGGTATAGATGTAATGCATTTTCGCATCAGCTTGCAGTAGATCGTCAAGAGCCAGAGGTACTAGGTAGGTGTCGTTGTGGAAAGAATATGTTGTTGAAGCTGACAAGTGACATGCTTGTAGTGTCTCTTGACCGTGCTGATCGCCAGAACTAAACATTTCCAAGATCTACCATATGGTAGATATTGGAAATTTTAGTTCTGGACCCAGTGATCGCCGCCAGCACTGTTTCCGTCAAGTTTGCAGTGAATGCGTCCATGAGGAATCCATCATCTGGTTGTCTCTACCCGTGACTCCAACCGCCTATTGCAATGGATAGTCGCCCGGAGTTTTGGGGTGCCAGCTGCTAGGCATCAAGTCTGAACCAAATAATTGTATGCTCCTTGCAATGAAAGTAACTTAGTTGTGATGTTTTGTACAAGTTCGAAGATCCTTGAATTTTGTTATTGCTTTTTTGGATGAATTGGGTGGACCATCCTGGACGAAAAGTGGTATGACCATGGTCGTAGTGGTCATACCGTGTGTGACGCCCCTGATTCATCACTTACTTCACCAAAAGCCTATGCATACATAAAACAGAGCAACTATCAGAGTGCCAGGTAACAACACCAGGACATGACTCATGGGTCTGCTGGCACAAATCAGTTCATCTGGATAAGTCGAAAAAGGCAAACCTGTACTACTAGTATACCGGTACCTGTAATGGACTATAGAGTGATTACCTCTTGATTGCTAAGTAGAGTACGCATGTACTTCATTATGATGGACACAACCTCTGTATGCCTTCCTCGCAATGCCAGATCAAGTGGAGTATCATTGAACTAAAAGATAACAACACAAAAAGAGTCACCGAAAGGTGCACTGAGCGGTTAGAACCCCAGCTCAGGTACCCTTTTTGGACCCTTTTCAAATTTCAAATTCTGCAGCACTGCACTCTGTACGATACACTAAAAATTGCCAAATACGGGAGCTCGCCAGAGCCAGGGCCCATCTTGTTATGAATGGACTGTAGTTTAACTTAGTAACTTAGTTTATGCATTCCAGTCGAGAGGTCTAGGGTTGCGCGCATGGTATGCAGCGCACAGACTTTGTCCGCCTGTGAATATTCGAATTTTTGAACCTTCAACCTAGATTATATCCGATCGATTATTCGTTGAGGACTTGAGGTTCAAGAGATCGAGGAAATTCGAATAATCGATTACTCGTTACATCAATAATTTCTATCGAATGGGCCGAATGAGTACGCGGGTTATGCAGTATAGGGATCCAGCATATGTTCCTCAGCATAAAAGCAAGCAAAGAATAATGAGTACATGGGCATCGGAAACAACTTCAAAGTGCAGCAAGGGATTGTATGAGTGCAAACAGGTATGACAAAATCTTTGGGCTATTGCAGCAGTGGACTGCACAACAGAGAAGGCGACAGCAACAGTAAGGGGGGGGGGGGGGTGATGTTGACCAGGGTTGGGAAGCGTTACTGTCCCGGTTTCCTTCATCCAGAGAGTAAGACTAGGGTTCCCGGACTCTCTCAATTTAACAAAGTGTACGTTCCAGATGGAGCGATAACTAGACCAGCAGGTAGCGCATAGACATCACTCAGTCGTGGCAGTCGGCAATGCCCGAGGTGAGGTAACATGATGACAAACTGCACAACTCCATTGTTGTCACGCCAAACCAATTCATGGAGGTTAAGTCACTACTTTGATTGTGCCAAGTGTGCGAGACACCCCAGTAAGCTGCCAGGCCAAGTCAACTGGTTAAAGCTTTATGTGTCTTGATCTCGCCTGTGCATGCCATCCTTATGTTTTTCGGTGCTGGATCTGAACTTGAGTATTCATTTATTTTTTCCTCTTGCTGTCCTCTGATGCTTCATAGCGCTTTCAGTACCAAGCCATTACCTAGGCCATGCAACAGAGTGCGTTCGATTATGCCCGCGAATCGATTCATGAATCGATTCGCGCTATTCGCATCAACCCATGTGAACGGACTGGAGCGTCGCAGAACAACAGCAGCAGAACTAACAGTAGCAGGATTCGAAGCAACAGGACTATCAGGACTCAAAGAAACTGTAGGTACAGGAGACAGTGAAGAAGAAGGCGCTGCAGGAGAAGGCTCGGGTACAGAATCATAAACTAAAGTGGCGGTAGAAGAATGATTAGTCGGCGAAGACAGACTAGGAGACTGAGAATAAGAAAATGACTGTTGATGACGGACTGGAGCTGATGTTAAAGACTCTGGTGAGCTGTGGCCTGGCATTCGTAGATGAACATGGTCAGCATGCCGTTTCCACAGACGACCATAATCTAGACGCACTCTGAAGGTCAAAGGACCACGGCAAAGTTCATCACCCAAACTGCATCACCGCACAGGAACTCGGATGCCGATGGTGTCCGACCACCGCACATGCTGGCTTACTTGGATTCCACCTGTGCACCGATATCAGGAAACACGAGGTCAATGCGAGAGCGAGGCTTCCGCTGAGACCACAGGAGCTGGAAAGGTGTCTGGCTCGTCGCCGAGCGACGATACATAAATAGGAACTTGTGCAGCGGTGACTCTAAGTCACCAGAGGCGACCTTAGGAAATGTCTCTCTTGACTGTTTGCACGGCTCTCTCAGCGAGACCATTAGTGGCAGGATGGTATGGTGAAACAGGGACATGCTTGATACCATTGGACTGGCAATACGCAGCGAATTCAGACCTGCTGAATGCAGGACAGTTATCTGTCACCAGACATGACGGCAGTCCAACACTAGCATATGACCGGTGAAGCCTACGGATGGTAATAGCTGATGTCGCTCCAGACGTGACATGCGCTTCAATGTACTTGTTGTGGCTATCTACCAGAATCAAGAGCATCTTGCCATCGATAGGGCCAGCGTAATCCATGTGGACGCGAGACCATGGCCGACCTGGCCATTCCCACGGATGAACAACACTTGGGTTGGGCGACTTCTGAGCCTCCTGACATGATGAACAGCTTCGGACTGCGTGCTCGATCTCTGTGTCGAGGGATGGCCACCAGAAATAGTTGTGGGCCAGCGCTATCATCTTCGTGATGCCTGGGTGTCCATCGTACAGCTGATGCAGTAACGACTTTCTGCCAGGAGCGGGAATGATGACACATGAGCCAATCAGAAAACAACCTCAAAAAATCTCATTTGCAGAGCAAAGCACTGGAGATTGACAAGCTGTGCGCCGTGCACGGCATTCAGTTGCTGGCAGAATGGGTGCCTCGCGAAGAAAATGAGCTGGCCGATTACCTTTCAAAGCTGTCTGATACGGATGGCTGGCAGTTAAATCCCAAATTTTTCGATTGGCTGGATTCGATGTGGGGCCCTCACAGCATTGATTGCTTTGCAAGCAGCAGAACAAAGCAAATGAGTAGATTCTGCTCAAGGTGGTGTAACCCGGGGTGCTCGGGTATTGATGCATTCACTGTGAATTGGACCGGAGAAAGAGTTTGGCTGGAACACCAATGTACTTGATAGGGCGTGTGGTAGATATGTTGATCGTGTCAAAATGCCACGGTACTTTGGTTGTTCCAGAATGGCAATCGGCGCCATGGTGGCCAAAGTTGCGTAGCGGCCCAAAGTGGGCAGAATTCGTTAAGGAGGCAATCAGCCTGCCAAAGTCTCATGATACCTTCCTGGAGGGTACTTGTCCATACAATTTCTTTGGTGGCAGTGTGAGTCCTTGTGACGTGTATGCACTACGCATTTGTACAGTGACAAACTGTGTTTGTTAGAAGAGGGATGCTGAAATTCCCCGGCCGCTGGAGTTTGTCTCTGACGGAAAGATGTCTGTTTGTGGAGCATGTGGTGATGAGCGAGAATGCGTGCATGCAGTGTCTGCGAGGTCCTGCTGCAGGATGTCCCCACTGTGGGGAGGTGATTGCGCTCTGAGCACGTAAGCAACTGCCTGGTAGTGGAAAGCTGTGGGTGCGGGTGATTTGCAGGAGTGGTGGAAGATCGCCAGGTATAGCGACGACATCCCCCTGGGGGAAGAAGGAAGCTGACGAGTCGACTGCACTGACATAGCCAGCTACGAAGCATTGACAGAAACCATTCTATTCTCTGTTCAGATCCAGCCAAGGACAACCTCTCCGAGGACATGAAGGCGCTGGAACAATGTCTGCCATCCATTATGAATATGAGCCGGGCACCAAGAACTGTGAAGAAGTACGACTCTGCTTTCTGTAGATGGAGCAAATGGGCAGAGCGTCAGAAGGTGCCTCATCTGCCAGCAGACCCACTTCATGTAGCCCTATATCTGGTCTACATCATGCAAGATGCCAAAACTGTCAGCCCATTGGTCTCAGCCGTGTGGGCCTTGTCATGGAAGCATGATATCCAGGGATACCCAGACCCATGCTCTAACGGGGTGGTGAAGAATGTGATGCAGGCAGCCAAACGCTCTCTGGCTCGACCGAAGGATAGAAAATTGTCATTATCAAAACCACTTCTGGAGCGCCTCCATCGGGAACTATCAAGCTCATCACTGCAAGACCTGCAGACCCTAACCCTCATAGTACTGGGTCATTCTGGTATGATGAGGTGGGATGATTTGGCCAACATCTTCGTGGACGAGGTAGCCATCAAGTCATCGCATATGGCGGTCTTCCTGCAAGTTCGCAAGAATGACCAACTGAGGCAAGGTAGCTGGGTGTTCATCAGCCGGTGGGAGAGTGACCTGAGCCCGGTATCGCAAGTGGAGCATCTGATTGAAAAAGGAGGGCACCAAGGTCATGTCAAGCTGTTCGGGCGTATAGCTCGTGTAAAGGGCAGGACCGCCATCAGGCACTCGCTATCCTATAGCAGAGCAAGAGAGCTAGTGCGTAAAGCTCTGAAGCGTATCGGCGTAAACCCAGATGGGTATGGTTTACACGGTTTGAGGTCGGGAGGTGCATCCACGGCTGCTGCACCAGGAGTACCAGATAGGCTCATTCAGCGACAGGGAGGATGGAGAAGTGATGCTATGAAGGCTTACATTCAAGAGTCCCTGCCCAATCTGCTGCAGGTGTCCCAAGTGCTAGCTGTGTGACTCTGCTGCTATACTTTAGCGTCCTTGCTGAGGCTGTCCCCCGCAGTTGTATATTCTGTGATGAGTGTGTGTGTATGAGTGTGTGTGTGTGAGAGAGAGAGAGTGTGTGTAGGTGTGTGTAGGTGTGTGTGTGTGTGTGTGTTTGTGTGTGTGTGTGTGTGTGTGTGTGTGTGTGTGTGTGTGTGTGTGTGTGTGTGTGTGTGTGAGTATGTGTGCAGTACTGACTTGTGAGTGAGAAAAGAAGCATAGCAGCTCTTGCCCTGTGGAGAAAGTCAAAGCGTTTGAGATGAGGCGCGACCAACTTACAACCTTCCTTGAAATATTCGGAACGTTTTTTTGCGTCCATTGACATCAGCGACGACGAGGCCTTCATCTCCGCGTGAAAACTCTCATTCCAACTGTCCTGGAATGTTACTCTAGCTTTCAGACTATCATACTGTGTAATACGTTTTGTATGGTTAAGCTTATGGAGTTGTCAGTAACAAGTGCCAAGTCACCACTCAAAATGCGACAATTTCAATGACGCGGAGGAAGTAGTCTTTTAAAAAATCCTCTTCAAAAAGAGAAGGAGGAACCATTGTGATTTCGGTTAAAATGGAGAAGGGAAAAATGGTAAGAGTTATGACTAACTGTCCAACAACATAACCAGATCAGATACCGTTAGTCATAACTCATACCATTGTCTCATTCTCAGTTTCATCTAAACTTACATTGGGTCGCCATCCTAGTTCAACGTTGTGGTTTCATCCACAATTGACTAGCACCTTTGTCTCTCACTCACAGCTCTGATTGTGTTGCCCAAAAATTGCCATTTCTTTCCTCCACTGCTTTTTCCGTGTTTATACTGTGTTACACGTTCATTTGGTGTTACATACACAATCCTTCTAATGAGATGGTAACGAAAACGTTTAGGGATACTGAGCCTCGGCCACAAATGTTTGTGTAGAATGTTAGTTTAGGCATAATAATAAATGAGCCACAATCAGCGAAAATGACCCTTTTAGAGGTTCCATAATTTTTCGAGAAAAGGTCGATTTGTGACGTTTAACGGTTTTTGATCACGCTGCGAACAGTGTGACGAGCTTCTTGAATTCCTAGCTTGAAGTTATCTATTTTGAAGTTTGAAGTGGTGTCGAGTGTCGACTCGAGTGTTCCTTGATCTTGGTGCGATGGCTGCGGACGCCAGAGCACGCGTGACAGTCATTGTGTAGAGCTAGCTCGAGCCTGGTGGGGAGTGGATGCTGAAGTAGCCGCTGAAGTTCAGAGTGAGGATGAGACACTCTTTGGTTCTGACATCGACGTCGACAGCGAGGCGGAATGGCAGCTGTCATCTCCTGCTGCGATGCGGCTCAAGGTGACCGATGATTCGTCAGAGTCGGAAGATGAGGAGTCGTCTTCTGAGATAAATTCTGAGTCTGGGGCTAGTGACGGCAGCCACATCGTGTCTTCGGAAAAAAACGCAAACACCGGCCCATGTCTGTCTGTAGGACACAAAGACGAGGAAGATCCTGACATGGCAAACACCTCTGACGGAGGGCTCATACCTGGGCAGCATGACGAAATGCGCCCACATGAAATGAGCAATATACATCATCTAGCAGCTGCATCCGCTGATTCGAGCGGCTCGGAAGCGGATGCAGAAAACCAACATCACTACACTGCAGCCGGAAGAGACGACAATGTACTCTTTGATGCACTGAAATTGTCCAAGGGCCAGCGGGAATCGATATCACCAGAACACCACAGCAGATTCACTCTTGTCAAGAATAGACGGCCCAGGAAACAGAAACCAACTCGTTTGCACTCCATGCCATGAGCCAGAAGCCTGGCTGGCGAACGTGAGTAGTAGTCACCTTTATCTCTAGTGATGACATTAGCCTGACTATCTTAATGATCATTATGCCTTCTTCCTGACTTAACCCCTCTGCAGCAGTGTTTGTTCCCCGACCTTCTATTCCCCGACTTCGCCTTTACACGACCAATGCATTTGCATTGCTGTCCAAACTTGGTGAGCTTCACCACGCAGTGAAGACCTCGAAGCCTGATGTTATTATCTTGACAGAGACCAAGCTCACTGCAGACAAAGTTACCCAGGCGGAAGTCTCACTGCCTGGATATGCCCCTCCCATTCGTCGAGACCGCACCGCTCATGGAGGAGGAGTTGCGGTCTGGATAGTCCTTATGCCGGGTCATGCATGACGTCATGCTTTATCTGACAAGTGAAGCCCGCTTGGGTGTTGCTCTCCCGGTGTGCAGGAACTCAGTGTTTTGTTTTTAGTGGCTAGGGTACTTCAAAAGTAGTTTGTTGTGAATTTTGTCGTGGAGGTCGTACTGTTGGTGCTTGGCGACTTGCAGAGATGCTTCATCATTACTGTTTACCTGGATGCACCCAGAACAGTAGCGGAAGCGTAGCTGGAGGGCCTGTGTCCTTTCACTCCTTTCCCAAAGATGAAAAATTGCATCGCGAGTGGATTGTGAAAATTCGTCGTGATGAAGGCGAGGAATTTCGTGTTGTCGACTAGACCAAAGTCTGCTCAATACACTTCGAGGAGGAATGTTTCTCTACTGGAGCTCGCCGCTGTCCTCAGCAGAAAAAGGCTACCTCCATAACGCGGAGGAACTTGAAGAAAAATGCTGTGCCGACTATTTTTTCTGGAGCTCAACGCAGGCGAAAAGAAAGCCTCCTGCTGAACGAACCTCGCAGGCACCGCCAAAGCGAAGGTGTGCTGTTGCATTTGCTGCGTTTGGTGCTTGTGCGGATGGAGAGGAACCTGACACTACACAGGAGCAGCTGAGCCTGATACCCATGATCACGAGTGCTGCGAGTGTGTTCCAGAGCTGAAGGCAAGCATGAATGTGCTTGTAACCGAAAATGCTATGCTCAAATTTTACAAGAAGACATTAGAAAATGCAGCAACAGAGGAGCATCGGTTCACCATCGATGACATCAACCACAGCGGCTCCCAAGTTTGGTACTACACTGGGTTCACTTCGTACCGTGTTTTCCTGGCATGCTTTGATTTCCTTGCTCGTCAGCTGAAGTTATGCGCATGTGGAGGGGTAGTGAGACAACTCCTGACGATCAAGGGAGACAGGGAAATATGCCTGGCCCCAAGCAGAAGCTGCCTGTTATTGACCAATTCTTTCTGGTTATGGTGCGTCTTCGACTTGAACTTGGAGAATTGGATTTGTCTCATCGATTCGCCATTTCTCTGGCCAGTGTTTCTCCGATATTTGCCACATGGATCAACCTCATGTACTTCAAGTTTCAACAACTCCCAATCTGGCTCTCTCGGAAGAAAGTCGACAAATTGATGCCGCCATGCTTCAAGCTGTTCTATCCATCTACCCATATTGTTATTGATTGCACAGAATTTTACATCAACACACCCGCTTCGTTGGCCCGTCAGTCAGCATCCTGGTCTGCATATAAGAATCACAATATGGTGAAATTTCTTATTGGTATTGCACCACATGGCCACGCCACTTTTGTATCTGATGTGTTGGAAGGTGCGGTGTCAGATCAGTCCATCACAGAGCAGTCTGGTCTTCTCTCCCTTCTTCAGCGTGGTGATTCAGTGATGGCTGATAAGGGATTTTATATACAGGACATGTTGGTCAGTGTGGGTGTACGTCTTAATATTCCCCCTTTCAAGGTTGGTGAGCGACAGATGCTGCCAGAGGATTTGCACAAAACAAAGAAAATAGCGGCTGTTTGTATCCACGTCGAAAGGAAAATGCACCGCATCAAACTATTCAAGATCCTGTCAGGTGAAATTGATGCAACGTTTTTTGATTTATTACAACAAACAATAGTTGGATGTGTTATGCTCACCAATTTCGAGCCCCCTCTGTTTGCTTGACGGGTCTATTTCCGTTCGATCGTGCAGTTTTATTTTACTGCTGTTGTTTTGGCTTCAATTGGTCAATTTCAGAATAGGAAACTTGCGGCGAATTGCTGTCATTCATTACAACAAACAATAGTTGTATGTGCTATGCTCACCAAATTCGAGCCCCCTCCCCCCCCCTCCTCCTTGTTACTTGACGGGTCCATTTCCCTTCGATTGTGCAGTTATATTTTGCTGCTGTTGTTCAAACCATATCTGCCCTGACCAAGACCCAATAACATGTAACGTTACATGTACCTGTACGGTGTGCATGCTGCATTGGCACGCTGGTTTTCTTTATTACATACTATGTGCATGTGATGATGAGCTACACGCTGTATATAAAATAATGGAAATGGTAACCCTCTATCAAATTCAAATTTGCATCACAAGGTCAAACGGGCAGAACCACCCGATAATTATTATCATCGTGATGACACATGTCAACAAATTCAGACATCATTTCAGATGCACTCCGCAAGAAGGGCTGGCAGTAAGTATTCGAAGTAGAACTTCTTGACTTTGGGCAGGCACCTCTCATTGAAATGTTCCTCCTTTGAGATTCGCTCAATGTGCAGTTCTGAAGGTGTCCAGACCACGAAATCAACTCAGTCAAAACCAGTTAAAGGCATCTGGAACTGAACTTGATAGTAGTAGGCATGAGTCCTTTTCAGCCGGAGAGCGCCGTCACACTGCTTGAGGAAGGATGATGGCTTGGCGGTAGCGGCAGACAGTGGTAAATCCCTGCAGGAATAAGGACACTTCACTTCAACAAGACCTCTGCCAACCTTTGAATGCATGATTCCATCAGGTGAGGCAGCAAGGAAGGGCCACGTTTGAGAAACGACAAGACCCGACTGACACACTTCGATTTTGAAGCCTTCTTGCTGCTGCTGTTTATGACAGTACTGGCCCAGGGCAATAGACTCGTGTTTCTGTCCATATCGTGTAGTACGATTGCCCTTGAATGTTCCACTCAGTTTGGCTTGAATGGCAAGTGTGAAGTCTTCTGATCGCCGACATACAATCTGTTTGCAGAGACTTGCGGTCAGTCTCTTCCGACATTCAACAAACCAGCGCTGGCTCGATGCCTGTAATTTGGTCTCGGCTGGAATCTCACTAGCAGCCGCAGCATCTATTACTACCTCTGCTGAGTGCAGCTCATCACAGCTTGAGTAGCACAATTGAGCAACATCAGACAAAGTAGGCACAGCAGTGTCCTCATCACTATCAGAGGATGAACTTTCATCTGACGATGATGATGATTCCGACATGCTGTCGTCGCTGGATGACTGCATGGCTATCAGCCAAGTGGCGCCAACGTACCGCTTGACATTGCCAGTCTTGTCTGCTGCTATTGCATGGCCATGAGATGCTTGCAGTTCTTTGCACAGCTTCTCTAGCTCTCCAGGCTCCACTAGGCGCTTGTTAGGAGGCACAGGGTTGAACAAGGCTTTGGGAGGTCGTTGACGCTTTGAGCCAAAGGAAGGTCTGTGTAGTCGGACATCGATCACACGTCTCGGTTCCTCCAGAGCGCGGCCTGTTCCACCTGCAGAGCCGGGATGTCGGCGAATCCTCATCGTCTTCACATAGACCGAATCTTACGAACTCCTCCAATGCATAGAGTAGGGCAGCTACATGGTTACAAAAACCTCCCAGCCCAGCCGTACAGGTGCACAGAGCAACCTTCACCATTCCATCATCAGACAACAGATTTTCACCTTGTACGGGTCTGTCCTCCTCATGGACGGCAGAACGTCGCTCTGTACATAGCAGGTACCGGCACTCTCTGCCATTTCACTGTTCTACCCCTTGTCCATTCCTTGGAATGAGGAGAACAGCTAAGAGTCGGTCTCAGAGTTGTCCGATGCAGCTGCCAGGTTATTCTGCGCAGACGGTACTAACGAGTTCTCCATGAAATGCTTATATATCGCAGGGAATCGAACAGGAGGCAACTTCTTCAAAGCTTCCAATTTGATTCAGGAAATCGAATTTCAGGATGGCCAGACGTCGTGAGCTGCTGCCGTTTTCGCTCCACATTAGCACCTCCATCAGGGTCGACAAGCTCACTTTCGAAGCCATTCTTGATGTAATCTTCCACTCTGTAGGAGAGATAGTGGAGAGAGAGAGAGAAGGTTTCATAAACTTGGCCCAGGATGCTGGGCAAAGTCCAGCAGAGAACACTAGACAAGTTCAAAAATTATGGGACTTACCTTTTCACGAATTCAGCTTTGAGTCCCTTGCGGCTTGCACCGCGACAAGCAAGCCAGCGCGTCAGCTCCTCAACTGTCAGGTCAGATCGTTTCCTCCCTTTCAAGGAAGAGCCAGGAATATCCGCCTCGACGAGTGTCAAAACACTTGCATTTGCCATCGCTCGAGCAATGTCTTGATGCAAGATACTGAAATATTGAAATAATTCGAAAACGATCGAGGAGCTCAAAAATCAACACCCAAGCGGATCGCGGCCCCGTGCGTGACATCATTGGTATGACGCAATCGGCATAAGGACTATTAGGGAAGGCATTGCCTTTCAGCACCTCCACGACATCGGCTGTGGTGTTCACGAAAATGTTTGGGTATCTGTCTCCAGGGCCCCCATACGAACACTGTCATTGGCGCTGTCTGCACGCCAGGCTCCTGTCTGGGCACTGACACCAAACTCTTTGAACACCTTGATGCAACTCTTGACAGAGTTAGGCAGCATGGGTTGAAGATTACCCTCGCTGGTGACTTCAATGTGCATAGCGGCTTGTGGTTAGGAAGCCACACAACTATTCCTGCAGGGGAATGTGCTGAGGATAGGTGCGTTAGCCACGGCCTGGAACAACATGTAACGATGAAGACCCGAGGGGACAATATGCTGGATCTGATTATGTCTGACTATATGTAGGACTCAGTATAGAGTCCATGCACTATATGATGTCCAGCACCCTATATAGAGTTTGTTTGTTTGTTTGTTTAGCTTTATTTTACTTCACCAGAAGCACAGGCAAAATCTGCCTTCTCACTGGGCGTATTGCCACAGTTCTCGCAAAATGATGAAGGTGGTGATATAAGAAAAGGAGGAAGAGGAAAATACAATCATGAACAAGGCACAAAGAGAAGACGGAAACAAATCAATGAGGGAGTACTACAAGTAACGAATTTGAATTTGATGAATTTTTCATGAAAATAATGCAACGGATGGAAAGGTTCCAGGGTTGAGGGAATGTTGACAGTTATGCGTCTTTGAGATCTTAGGAGAGGGTAAGAGAGTTTAAGATATCGTTTGTAATTGCTTTCTTAAATGCAGAAGGAATTGTGATGGAGCGGACATCAGGCGGCAGGCAGTTCCAGTACACACTACCAATGAACTGAACAGTGGATCGACCGGAAGGACCCGGCAAAAACGGGACACGAAGCAGACGTGAAGCCTGACCCCGCGTGGCACGACCATTGACTAAATCAAAGAAAGTGCTGAAAAGACTACTGATCATTTCAGTACCAAGACATCTGTGAACAAAAAATAATAATTTTTGCTTATATATCTGAGTAAGAGTAAGAAGATTCGTCGACAGAGAAGAGGGGATGATGGGGTAGTAGAAGGCACCTGGAAAACGGCGCGAATTCCGGATTTGAAAATCTTGACCAAGCGATCCAACAACTGCACTGTGAGGCAAGGATAGAAAGCCGTAGACGCATAGCAGAGATGGCTGCTGATCATGCTAATGAACCACGACCGTCTGGCTGATAAACTTAGAGCACGACCATGGCGCCAGAGCTGACCAATGGTCTGGGCAGTTCGCTTAGTCACGTTGTCCACATGCTGCTTCCATGACAGTTCGCAATCAATGACCACCTCAAGGTACTTGGAAGTAGGGGTAACCTTGAGTGCGTCCTGACCACAGAATACATCAGGAATGGCAGCTCTCTGTCCACGGGGCTGGATGACCATGACTTGCGTCTTCTTCGCATTGAGCAACAGCCCAATTTCAGCAAGCCAACGTGATACAGAAGTGGCAGCTGCACTAAGCTGTCGGCACACAGTGTTCAGATCGCTGTCGGAGAACTCTAGTATGATGTCATCTGCAAACTCTTGGTGGATGACTTGTTCAGGCAGGATGGCATCTAAGTGGCGCGTGTATAGAACAAACAGCAAGGGACCAAGTACACTGCCCTGTGGCACACCACGGGAACAATGCACTGACGAGGAGACTGAGTTTGCAATTCGGACTTGTTGACTTCTTTCAGTCAGATAGCTACAAAACCATTGTAGAGCACTAGATGAGATACCAAGGGAGTGCAACTCAGAGACGAGTCGTTCATGCTGCACCCGATCAAAGGCTTTACTCATATCTACCATGACGATGCCCGTGAAGCGGCGATGTGAGCGTGCAAGCACCCACCTGTTGACGGCAAGCACAAGTGCATCCTCCGTCGAGTGACACTTCCGATACGCAAACTGAGTCTTTGGATAAAGTTCATGCGCTGTGAGATATTCCACGAGCTGCTTTTTCACAAAGTGTTCGAGAATACGAGATATAATCGGCAATAAGGATACTGGGCGGTAGTTAACTGGCACTGTGGGGTCTCCTGACTTATACAAAGGACTAATAAACGATCGCTTGAACATCATTGGTACTGTTCCAGTGGACAGTGATCCGTTAATGATATCCGTGAGTGGCCCAGCAAGGCTATCGGCACATTCCCTCAACACTAAACCAGGAACGCAATCACTGCCCGTGGCCTTCGCGGGATTTATGCACTTCAGACAAGCTTTCACATCACTCACCGGCACCAGTTCAAATTGCAGAAAGCTAGACGCTGGCATCGGTCCACTTGGTGGTGTTAGCGTGGATGGTCGGTCTGGGTCATGCACAACATCCCCAAAGGTTTTGCTCAGGTCCTCAATGGCGGCTTGAGGTTCTTGACGCTGCTTAGCACGGCCTGTGACGATGTTCATAACTGACCACAACTTTCTCTGATCACGAGTTGCA